GTCTCTAAAAGTACAATGGGAGCCAGAGCCTTTTCTTATCAAGCTCCACATTTGTGGAATCAGCTTCCAGTTTGTGTTCGGGCGGCAGACACCCTATCCGTTTTTAAGAGTGTGCTTAAGACCTTCCTTTTTGATAAAGCTTATAGTTAGGGCTGATTAGATTCAGCCCCTAGTTTTGCTGCTATAGGCTTAGTTTGTCGGGGGACATCTTACTTCTTCCTTCTCTCTGTCTGTACCTGTGTACTCTCATGTTCCGAATAACCCAGCTTCCCCACATTTTCTTTCTTTTTGGTGTCTATATACGCCGGGATCCGGAGTCATGGCTGATATTGTTGCTGTGGTCCTGCTGTGGTCCTGGATCCTGAGTCCTGCATCCTGAGTCCTGAGTCCTGCATCCTGAGTCCTGGATTTCGAGTTGTGGCTGCGGTCCTGCCTGACTCTCATCCTACTATTTCTCTGATGGCTCCCACAGGATTGTTGACATCCTCGTGGATTCATCTGACACATGCATTTCCAAACATTTGGTCTACCTATGCTGTAAAATGTATTATCTCTTCAATTTAGACATGGCATCTATTGCACGTCTGTCCATCCTGGGAGAGGGATCCCTCCTCTGATGCTCTCCTCGAGGTTTATTCCATTTTTCCCCCATTAACTGTGGGGTTTCTTTGGAAGTCTTTCCTATGTGAGGGTCCAAGGACAGAGGGTGTCTTATTGTCATATTGATATTCTGTCAAAACTGTGAAGTCCACTGAGACAAATGTAACATTTGTGATATTGGGCTATATAAATAATAATTGATTGATTGATTGAAGATTGGATAGTCCAATTTCAACAACATAGTGAGGTTATGAAGAAAAATGACAATGACTCTAGGGATTCTTAAATTACTTCCAATATCCAGTTGTATTCAAAGTGTCTGGAGTCTATGTGTGAGGTCATACTGTATGGACATGTGAAGTCTCTCTCTGACTCTCATGCATCTTGAACACAGATTATGATTATGACCCAACAGTGGGGGCTTTATCTTGCAGGTTATGATGGTGGATGGTCTAGGAAGCCATTCCTCACTGGGCATCAGTGAGCAGGGACTGAGTTTATGGGAGTATGTGCTTTGTGAAATAATGTGCAGAGCAGCGCCACAGTAATGAGAACATACATTGTGCCTGGAGCTGCATGATGTTCCACAGGGGCTGCTTCATATGTGTTGTACACTATACTAAAACAATCCCAACTGTTCAATTAGAAAAACAGTGCTGCTGTGAAATGACAGAGCAAAAAAAACACAGACCTGATATCTGCTGGCTTTTACAATATTACTTCTCTTATACCACCGTATATTCAGTTTCATGTCCCTTTCTGTTCTTTTTAATTAGTAATGCATCTGACTATAAGGACATTTAGTGGAAAAAAATAAGATTCACACACACACACCTGTTCAGCAGTTGCGTCAGCTCCTCATACTTGTGGATGACCCTGGCTCCCTCTGCAGACTCCAGGCACCTGAAGAGAACATGTATGAGGCCTTTAAAACAGTTCATGAAGAAATGACTTTACAGCGACAGAACAACTCCAATATTCTTTTTTGATGTGATGTGTTGCAGACTCACGGGTAGGAGAGGTGTCTGAACTTGGAGAAGGGGGTCAGGATGCGCAGCTGAAGCTCCTGGGCCCATCTCAGTCTGCCAGCTACTGCTGGCATATTCCTATTCACTGGAGCCCAACCTGAGGAGGTCAAGAATGATTGACTGATAACGAGTAGGTTGTCCAGCTCTAGAAGGATGCAACAAAAGTAAAAGGACAGCGATTCCACCCATTCCTACAACTTCCAAAATGGGGGCTTCACATCAAAACCATCACAAGTTGCAGAACAACAACAGCAGTTACCTAATCTCAACTATATAAAGGTTGATTTATGCCTAAACCAAATCGTACAAAATGCAGACATTGTTGCAGATCTCACCCCGCTCCTCTGCAGTTTGGATGTGTTTCTTGTAAAGGCGTGTACAGCAGTCCAGCTCCTTGTCAAACATGGAGACCAGCAGAGGGAATCTTTCCAGAGCATCTGTGGCAACCCACGGGCGCTCCAGCAAGCCTCCAAACATATCCAGAACCTGCGGACGTCAGAAAGGTGAACTAAGTGTGTGAATGAAGATGTGTGGGAGAGAAGCAGAGAGAGAGATTCATTTCTCAGACCTTGAAGGCGTGCTCAAGTCCAGAGGTTTCCTCAAAGGCCTGACAGAAGATGGCTCCTACTTGTCTGTCTGTGTCATCCACCTTGAGTTTGAACTCCCTCAGATCTTCTTCATACTCCTGCAAAGCAGATAGGCCAGCAGCCTTTCACATTTCACTGGCTCACAGGTCCTTTCTTCTCTTGCTAAAACTCAGGAGCATCTAGCTTAAGCAACTTGATGCAAGCAATACGTCATTTCATTGGAGCAGAGACTCATAAATGCTGAAGTGAAAAAAATAACTTGTCCTTTTGCGAAATAAACAAATGTTTTCTACAAATGTAGGGCTTATTTTTCCCAGAATGCAAGTGGACAAAAGCATCATGGATCCTGTAATTATTATGCTGCATACCTTGTTGTTGAGGTCCAGGCAGTGGTAGGGCTTCTCTGTGAACAGTTTGAACGTTTCCACAAACCCCCGGTGAAGCACCTGGACCTGCTGGCTGAGGGCCCGGCCCCGGACTCCTCCAATCTCTAACTTGTCTAGCTTCAGCAGGTCCACAGCTGTCAACAGGATGTCCTGTATGGGAGAAGGAATGGAAAATAGAAGGCAGTCAAGCTAAGCTGCATAAGGTTCTGGGGCCTCATTTATAAACGGTGCGTACGCTCAAAAGATGGCGTACGCCAATTTCTAAGCAATCTTTGCGAGTTATAAAAAACAACTTGACGGGAAAATGTCCGGTCCTCCACGCAAACTCTGACCCATGCGTACGCGGTACGCACAAAAACGGGAGAGACGAGAAACTGCGACACCGTTGGCAGAAGGAAGAATGGAGAGAAATATGTGGAAAAATACCATAAATAAAAATATTACCTCTCATGTATCATATACGAAGAATTAATTTTCTAAAATTGATTAAAGCCAATCTTAAAATGATTAAACAAACGCCTGTTTGAGACTCCTCAGTGCACACAAAATATATAAATAAATGTTATTGATCACCCCTCGATTATGTTCTCTTGTTAAGAAATGTATTCTCATAAATGGGACTACAGACGAAAAATAGTTAGCCTGTTGGCTAGCTTGACAGTAATGTCAATCAATGTGCACTGTCCCTATCAAATAAATATATAAAATAAAAAGAAATGATGCGGTAAACAGAAGGACAGCATTACGTCTAAACTGACGCCGTTTTGCATTTCTATAGGTTGTAGATACGAGCATGGTTTTATATACTATCATGTTTAATCGGGTTTTATGCCATTCGCCGCCTACTTGATAAGTCGCTCGTAAAACACAGGAGGTATGGAAACTAAGAGCAGCATATGTGGTAAATTGTACAGCTAATATAACACAACACATTAGTTGTATTTCCTTTAACTGGTGGATATAGAGTTGCTGCGGGGGGTTGGAATGCACGGGCTGCAGTGGAGACGCTGCGCACAGCTGATTGACAGCTGGGACACAAACCACGAAAATAATTCAGATCAAGTCGTCATGACTCCACTCCGGAGGGATTCCCCGATCATTTCTTAGAGTTTCTCATCAAGGGGGGGTCTCCTGTCCCCGGTACAAACACACTGCCTGAGGAAGCTTATGTGTATTTCTTTTGTCATTAACCTTTTTCGGACCACTTATTTATTTATTTTTATTTTGGTGACGATCCGACCCCCATGCTGCTACTCTGGTTCAAACTGCATCCACCAAACAATGTGATTTATCTCAACCACCCCAAAATAACCAAAATCTGACACGGTGTGAGATGTTTTTTTTAGCTGTTCTGTCGTCATTTCCTGCGATCTTCTTCATGCAGTCAGTCAGAATGAATATTAATACGGGGCGTTTCTTTGACTATTTATAGGCAAATATGGGCGTTGCGTGAAGCCCGCAAAAGCTGCGCCGCATTTCAAGTTGAGTGTGAGTTATAAAGGGAAACCGGCGTAGGACGTACGTGCGCAGTGTTTTATAAATCGGAATATTTTTGTGCATATTTATTTGCTTTGTCCTACGTAAGCCACCTTCCCACATGAATCCTACGCAAAGCTTTATAAATGAGGCCCCTGGTCTTTTACCAAAGGCCGTTTTATTTTGTCATCTCACACAGGGGCAGATTTCAGGTACAGTATATGTCAACTTATAAATAATGGATAACATTTCCATCCTCACCTTAATGCTCCTAACTCTGTTAATAAAGCAGTCAAGTCCAGAGAAGACCAATAGTGGCGAGAAGTCCCAGGGCCTCACAGGGACCCCGTTCCTCTGGTACCGGCTCAGATTGGCCCTGCGCTCGTCGTACGTGCTCCTGAAGAGCTGCAGGGTCTCCAGGGTGGTCTGCACCTTCATGAGACCCTCTGAAAGCTCTCCTCTCAGAACCTCCTCTGGGACCAGATACACCCGAGCCTGGATTTGGAGAGCAGTAACAGCATAGTTGTTGCTATAGTAACAGATGGATTCTCCTCCCCATTTTACTTACACGGCAGCTGGCTCATAGCATGTATGAAACTATCAACTGCATATTTAACACTTTGGGTGGTGTTTACATTAGGAACCATAGAGGCAGTACAGATGTAGCACCTAATTGCAGACTCCCGCTTACAGCTTCCTACCTACGACCTGCCTAAGACCAGTAGGCTATAGAGGAATGTTAAGCCCTCCCACTATTTTCCAAGAGGGCGTTGCCAGATTTTCAATTTCAGGTTTTAACCAGGAGATGGCACTTCATTCACAAATACAGAAAGACAACTTTCATGGACTTTCAGTTGTGTTTTGAAGAGCATTTGAACACATCAATATTTTAGATCAACTAAAGTATATCTAATCTTGTAATTCAATAATATATAGTCTTTATATATTAAATAATCATAATAATAATGTAAATGTTTACATTACACTTCTTTAGTTGTTATGCTCATACTTTTACCTTTACAATCGTTCGCTTTAATATGCAGTATGTTTTTTGTATATTTTTGTGTTTGCTTCCTCCTGCTCCATTTCGGACACATACTGTATGATTTATTATTATTATTAATATGAAGATATTATTAAGATAAGATAAGATAAGATGTTACTTTATTGATTGAACATTTTAGTTTAGAATGTGCTGTCCCACGGTAATTCAGAAGACTCACAGGTCACATTCCGACCATTATTTAAAACAATAGGTGCTTTCACACCGTCTACAGTTTGATTTGTATAGAGGGAGCTCTGTGGCTGAATGGCCAGCGATTAGGTGTGGCGCATTTATCATAGGTGATCAGAGCTAACTGCCTGCCGTCAGATTTCATTTAAAAAACAGATCTGATTATAAGACTATTTCTGCGCTCATAAAGAATGATAAGAATAAGAATAATGCGTATTGAACTGGTTTCATTAATTAGTGAGTTTATTTAACACTAGAACCGCCAATCGGGTCAATTTGTGTGATGTGTGTTGTGTGTGTGCAATATAACTTTTTTTCAATAAAATATTAAAGTCTCCCAGTCCGTGACTTTTCCTTGAAAAGTGTGTTATGTAGCACCCTATGTTGTTAAAAATTAGCATTCTAATAGCGGGATTTGACAGGTTTAGGTAGGCCTATACAAAAACCTACCTGGCGGTTCTAGTGTTAAGGTAAATTAGGTACAGTAGAAGC